GAAGGCAGGTTTTAAAAAAGCTTTATCTGTAAACGATTTAGTGTTCCTCACCTTCCACTGACAGGTGGTGTCATCTACACTACAGGTTGTCAATGAGCCTTCTTCCAGTTTCAAAACCATGCTCTCCTTTAGATGGTCATTCTCTCTGATTATTTACTCAGCATGCGATTGAATAAGTATGGTAGAAAGGTAAACCCTGGCACACACTTTACCTTATTTTAAACTATGACTCCTTCATCTGTATACAGGTTCTACATGAGCATAATTAAGTGTTTTTGGATTCCCATTCTTGGCAATGTTATGAGCTACACAGTCAGAGGAAGATCAAGAAGAACTGAAGCATATGAATGAAGACATTGGTAAAAAATATTGAATAGCACTATATATATATATATATATATATTACCATGAATTTCCAGAAAAATAACAAATCTCTTTTAAAAGAATTACAGCCAGAATATTTGCTCCTTAGAAATGAGGATGTACAAGACTTGTCTCATGTAATTTGAGAATGTTTGTAAAAGTGACCTTGAGAAAGGCATCCTGCTTGGTAAAATAAAAGATGAGCAACAAAGGACAAGCCTCATTGAGATAGAATGACCAGGTGGCCACAACAGTGGTTTGCAGACACAGCAAGGGCTATGAAGAAAGTGCCGGACAAAGCAGTGGTCCATGCTGTTGGACTGGGGAATGTCACAAGGTATTAATACCAGGGTTCCGGTTCATATATGCTTCGGTTTCTTCCAAACAAAACATACTTAAACATGCTTCTTTCATCAGTGGGTGGATTCAGAGAAGTCCTATCAGTTTTCATTTTTCTTAGTCTGATTAGAGAGCCTTAAAAAAAAAAAAGCCCAATCTAAATAGTAACTTCCCAAAGGATCCGCTGGGCCACTTAAATTCAAAATGGAGACGTCAGGTGATCAGATTATGGCAAATTTTTTATTGACATGCCCAAAAGTAATACTGGTGGATTTTATTAAAGGAAACAGAAAAACCACAGTGATTTTTTTCGGCAAGAATTTTAAGAAAAATAAAAACTGTATTGGAAAGAATCAGGAAAATTACACTCAGAAATTGATTTATTTTCATTCTTGGGAGGTAGCAAGAATTGTCTGAGCATAATTTGCCAGAAACACTATTCCATTCATCCTGCAGCACTGATAATGTCCTAACAAACTTGTTTGGGTTTGTTTTAGCTTCCAAACCTTTAGAACATAGAAAAGGAATATAGTTTAATGATATCCAGAATGCCCAAATGACTGTTGGAGGGGTTACAAATCAAACAGTGCAGGAATATTTGGGGAGGAATTAGAGGGATGCAATCACCACCTTCAATAATGTGCAGAGCAAGGTAGATGATAGTTGAGAAACAATAGCTACCATTTGCATAGTTTTGCTTACTAAAGGTTTGTACAATTTCCTAGCAATATTTTTTGACATAGCCTTGTGTATAGGAATAGGGCTACTCCGAGTTAGAATTGAATTGTTGGCCTCTAATAACACCATAATTTGAATAATATGAGTTGCTGTTTTGTTTTATTCTTAATTTGGAGTATGACTAATTACTTAGTATGCATTAAGTTGCCTCAAAGTCCCAAAGATAGATATGCTGCATGGTTAAGTATGATCTTATTTAGGAAACAATTATTCTTTGTTTGAGGATATTTTAAGTTAATGTTGTTATATTGGAGTTGAATTTTAACAATTTATGACTGATGTGTAAGAAAGAGGACAGATAGGAATAGAGTTACATGGGGGAGAGAACCTATACGAATTCATCTACAACTCAAGGGATAACAGGAAATGCTAAGGCTAACAGGATGTGTCTTCCCTCGATCACTGGAAAGGAGCCCGGAACTTGTCCTTCTGATTTCTAGAAATATGGGGAAATACATGGATCTATGGTGATGTAGTGGTTACAGTTTGGTCTGTGATCATGTGGTTAGCTGTTTGAAACCACCAGCAGCTCAGCAGGAGAAAGACTGGGCTTTCTACTCCCATAAAGAGTTACAGTCTCCGAAACCCAGAGGGGTGGCTCTGAGTCAGTATGGCAGTGAGTTTTCAAATACATCATAGTGGTTTAAATCTATGCATATTGTGGTATTTCGTTATTGTGGGCCCAGAAACTAAGGTTATTTTTTATAACTAAAATATATCTTTGTAATCCTAAAATAAACATATAGGATAAGCTAAAATATAAACACTTAGAAAAACACTTAATATTGGCTTTGAGTTGTTTTTTGTTTTGTTTTATCCTTAAGCTTTAGTTGTTCTAGTCACAAAAGTTTATCCAAATGAAGAAATTGTTGATTCAACTATCTATCTATAAGGACACAGAGAACAGGGATTGTTTCGTCAATAGAATTCTGACTTTTAAAAATTTCCCACAATAATTGGTATGGGGTTTGCAAATCTTTGTGAATTTTTAACCTCAGTGTCAAGACATCTGTCCAGAGCTGCTTGTCCAAGATTAAGAACCTGAGTTTGAAAGACCCATGAAAATTTCAGCAAATCATCAAATAAAGTTATCAAAAATAAAATCTTAAAAAAGTGTTGCATCATTTAGAATGAGAATTTAAAACCAGTTATATGTCTGGATTTACAGCCATGATCAAAGTTAAGTAGCTATAAAGGACCTACTTTTTCTAAACATCGGTTGTTAGATCTATCATATTTTGGCCACATAACATTATTTTATAAAGAGTTCTTTCTGTATATATACTAGCATCATTGTCTTTAAGAAGATGAGGCTTAAAGAGCCCAACAGGTAAAGCAATTAAAACAACAACAACAAAACTGTCATTGTATGGATTCTGACCCATAGTGACCCTGTAGAAAAGGGTAACATTGTTGCT